GTTATTTTGTAAACTAAAGAATGCAATTAACACCATTAGATGAAGTTTTAGTAATCAAAGGATACTGATTTCGTGCTTGATATAGTGGTAGTACCTACCAAATCTAAATAGAGTGCAAGGTCAAACTTAAAAGAGTTAATTTTTGTATTATTTAAAATGAAGCAAGAAGATAACATATGAACACCACCATTAATCTCTTCATATGGTACATTGTTTGTTCATGATGTTCAAATGGCCGAGCTGCTAAATAGAGTTGGTCAAAAAACCCCTTCAAGCTTGGTTCTATTTCTTGGAACAATCTTCGTATTCATCAAAATTGTATATAGGACCTTCTTATTTGAACATTCTCTTTCATAAAAGATTTTGGTCATCATCTCTATGTTTGTTTTATCAATATTTTCAGTTGTTACATTTTTTTTTTCTGTTTTTTTTTTTTTTGATCTTATTTCATGTTTGTTTATTGATGTTTCCAGTTGAAATATTTTTATTGTTGATATTAGTAATTGCAACACCTAATCATTATAATCAGGATCTTTTACCACTTCTACCTGTTGCTTCCGTTGTTACTGTTGATAAATGGAGGAAGACAACATCAAACATGTTTATGAAGAGAAAGTTGACAAGGAAGAAAATAGTGCCAAAGACATCCATGGAGAATTTGTTGTAGTTGATATGATAATAATGATGATAATAAACTGTGAAATAACCTTGATTCTATACTCTTCAATCTTTTAGTGATGGACGTTGATGTGTATGTCGGGTTTGATTGCTTGGTGAACTACTAACTAATAGATATTATGAGAGGATATAATTAATTCATTAAAATATTATCCCACAAACGAATATACACAACCTTTAATTATAAAACATCTTCTTGAATTCTAAATAATCAAATTTTCTCATTTAGCTGAAACACCACCTCGCCAGAGACTGTTTCATTAATTTTTGTGGCGATTTTTACCAATCTGACCATGAATAGAATCGATGACATTTTTGATGATAATAAAAAAATTTTGCAGGTAATAAAATAATAAAATATTACATTTATTGTTGTTGTTTGGCGCTAGTATTTATAACTTGAACCAACACACACACGAGAAATCAAATTAAATGCAACCAAATTTGATTAGCTTTAATTATGCAAACACTTTATTCTACCACTTTGTTATTATTAATTTACCAAATTGAGTTAATATTAAACCCGATATTCAAGTTTTTATCATACGCGCGCGCAAAACACTTGCACAAATGTGCAAAAAAAAAAAAAAAGAAAAATTCGAAAAACACGAAATGGTTTAGTTTTTTGATTTTTTTTTGTGCATAAAAATTTTTTTTTAATCAAGAATACACTAACAAGACTGGTTTTTGTGCAAGGTATAAAAAGACGTTTTTACTAATAACAATCTAAACCAATCAATTAAAAACTTGCTACGGCAATCTATTAATAATCTAAACCATCTGCATTGGTAAAATCAAAATGTTACGCCAAAAAAATTAAAAATGACAGTTTTGCTTTATAATATACTAATGCCCATACCATGATTCATATAAAAATTGTCTTAATAAAAAGGCTTATTCTATATCTAAAATAGTCATACTACTTATTGAACTTTATCAGCAAAAAATTTACCAAAATCAGATGTTGCTTTAATTACGATAATCAAAGGCTGTATTTTCTCTTTGAAATTTTCAAACAAATAATAATGATAAAAATAAATTACAAAAATTTGTAACAATGTTAATTTACACTTTTAAAAAAAAAAGTAACTGACATTTATTTAATGGATTAATGGATTAATGATTAATGATTAATGATTAATGATTAATCCTTAATCCATTAATTTTAAAATTGAGCCGTGATTTTACTTAAAGATTTACTTTGTTGATACTTTATTATGTTATTAATATAAAAAATTCCACGAATTTTGATATAAGAGGCAAACGATAAACGTATTAACCCTTTTTATTTTTATTAAAAAAAAATCGATAAATATGGAAGGTTACATGCATCAAAACTATCGGCTAACTTTATGATTTCCTGTTACTTTTTTTTTTAAAGTGTAAACTAACATTGTTACAAAATTTTGTAGAATTTGTTTAATTCATTTTTATCATTATTATTTGTTTGAAAATTTCAAAGAGAAAATACGGCCTTTGATTATCGTAATCTAAGCAACATCTGATTTTGGTGATTTTTTTGCTGGTGTCAAATTTGAACAAATACCTCAAGACACTTTTTCAGTTACTACCATTGGCTATGTTTCAGATGATATTAATGTCACAAATGAAGGAACAAGTATGAAATTTGTTACAAATGACATTTTTGGTAGAGATAGAGAGAAAAAACTTGTTAGCAAAAAAACAAATTTTATTTTATTATCTAATAAATTTTTGTTAAATTTATGTTTTCAAGTCATATTGCGGGTTAACTGGATCTTATTTTGATGATCAAGAAATTCTGAATGCTTCTGTATTGGAAACAGATGAAACTGAAGCAGAAATCCATACTAAAGAAACTCCTAATTGGGATAAATGGATATGGCCTTCTGACATTTCTGGAAAAGAAGTTCTCTATAAAGCCAGTTCCGAAGCAGAGCATTCACTAATGTTAGTCTAATTTAAGTATTTTTGTATTTTCTTTTGTAAATACTTAAAAAACTTTTAATTTTAGGCCAGAAAAATTTAGTATAATAAGATGCGGAGGAGGAATTGTATGCCCAAAATGGATTTTGGAAGATGACTACATAATGATACAATCAATTTGCACACCTTTTGTATCACGTCTTGATGAAGAAGCACAGTAATTTTTGATAAAAATAATTTTAAATGAAGTAAGTTTTTTTTAAGTGGTTTAATTGGTTTGTTATTTTATTTATTTACATTTGTGATCTATAAGCAGCAAACCAAAGCTGAAATACGGCAACAATTTATTCTACCACAATGATATTAAAAACGATGAAATCTGATCAACTTATTTTTTTTTCTCGAGTGATCAATCAATTGTGAGCATTTGTATATTAAACATACAAAAAAAAATTTTTTTCAGATACAACTAGAGTGGTGAACAACTAATGAGAATTTTTCTACTTGTTTATTGCAGTAATGAACTTGTATTTCCCCCGAATTCAGTAATATCAAGTGGAAATGCTTCTGAAGCAAGTTATGGTGGTTGGTTTTATCATCCACCCGACATTAATGTGGCTATTAGAAGGCTTAGAATCTCGTTTAAAATATGTACCGTAAGTTGTCAATCCTGTATAAATATATATATTATGTTTTCTCTGTATGATTGATTTTTCTCTACCTTGACTGGTTTTTTTGCCTTTACAGTGGGGAAGTAGCATTGGATTGTATAGACTCGTGCAGATCACGATATAAACAATTGGATATTTCACAACTCTGTGATGGGGTATTTAAAGCTAGTAATCTAAAACTTGCACATTTAGAAATGAGTGGCGGGCATGGTTTGATTGATAAACCCCGTTCAACATGGGATCATGTAAAAGGATTCATTGGTTATTTGTATATGTTAGATGAATTAGCATGTAAATATCCAAATGCAAATCTTGTTCTTTTCTGTTCGATTAAAGTATATTTTTTACATACATTTGATAAGTGTTGGCTAGTTTCAATAATATCATTCAATTTGATTTGATCTATAAGGAATCAAAGGAACTAATTTCAATCAGAATTTTTGATCCTTTTTTTAAATCAAACACCCAATGAAAGTAAAAAATTTGTTCCCAAAAAATTATTTTTATCCTAATGATAATGGAATTATCATTGTCTATGTCATTGTCATATCCCTATTCTTAATTCTTAAGAAATCAGTTCATTCCCGTGAAACTCTGATTTATTTTTTGGGTCAGGCCGGTTTTATTGTTTTTTTATTAACACAAGTAAGAAATGAAACATTTGCCGTATCATGACCACCTTCCAAAATCAGTAGGGCGAGCGACCTTCGTGCAGGTTTCTCACTGATTGTCTCCTTTTGCGTTTAGCCGCGCTTGGTTTTTTCAGCTTTTGGTACGATCAACATTTTCAAACCTAATTTTTTGGGAAAGAATTTTTTTTTTCGTTGGGTGGTAAATTTCAAAAAAAAAATCTTTATTTTTCTGAAATCGATCTATGTGATTCTTTATTCTTTATTCTTTCTTTGATGACAAATGTAAATACCTTTTTTCCACATGATGAACGTTTATCGTGCAATAATAATATTTTTTTTTTTCAACCGAAGAGAACTATTTGGTAAAAATTAAAAGTTTTATTTATTTTACATTTAAAAAGAGCTATTTAATTTCAACAATTGAATTATTGTTTTTTGTTATTTTATTTTATCATATATGCTACTAAGAATAAC